GGCATGCTTCTCTGTCTGTCACTGCCAAGCCCTGCTAAGCCAAGCGACGCAGCTTCTCTCCGAAGATCTCAATTCATGGCAGGGGCACGAGAGCTGTTCCTCGGCTTGGATCACCACCAACCGCAGGCGCGTGCCAGGGTAGAACTCGTCCTCAGTTTGGAAACGGAAGCGGCCGAGCCGGCGTGCCAACATCCAAGCCAGCACCGAAAGACAGCGGGGGCCTCAAACCGGAAGGCTCATGCTCATGCCGTCGAATGGTCCCGGCGACGTGTGGATGACATGGGTTTGCCACCAAATCAAGCTATATAAGTCTCTTCTCACGCTGCATGGTGCCGGTTCAGAGCCCCTCATGCACTGCGAGGCTGCGCCCAGGTGGCCTAGAACTGCAGACCCGGGATGCGGACGCGATTGCTCATGACGAGGCGGCAGTGGCACTCATCCTGCAGAGACTTGCGGATGTCTGGAGCACGAAACTATTGCAGGCTCTGACTGTGCTGGGGAGCGGAGTAGCCTCCCAGGAGTCTTTGAGCTCCCGGCCTGGATGCGGTCCTTGGTGCTCCCTCGGTGCCCGAGCACCTTGGCTCTCCCTCCCGCCGGTTTCCACACGAAGCTTCACACTGTTTCTTTCCTCCGCCTTCTGACATCTTGTGACTCCAAGATCTGTGTGTGAGGAGAGCTCCTACCCTACAGCTTGCGGCGGAAATGCTGAGGTATCCAAACAGAGCTGTCTTAACCCACTCCACAGCGCCTGCATACCGCAAAGGCAACCCCAAGCATCAGGCCAACATCCTCATCATAATCATAAAAGCCAAAAACAAAGTCAGAACCGGCAGAATGACTGGCAAAGACAGCCTGGGGCGAAGCACGCCCGAGGCCAGTGGCTCCGGGCACAAGATCTGCGCACGAGCCCGGGAGCTTCGGTTTAGGGCTGCGAAGGGCCTGACAACTACGAGTAGAAACTTCTGGGCCGACCGGGCTACCGGCTGGCCTAGATGCCTGCAGTGCTTAGACTTGGGTTTGGGATTAGCTGCGGATTTCGCGATGTTCCGGAATGCGTTGGGGGTCCAACTTGAGGCGGGATGATGCAGGGCTCCGACACCTTTTCAAGGACCTGTGCAATGACGGAGCCCAGCACCCGAGCAATGGCTCGCCTTGAAAGCATGAGGCCTTCGGTGCGACATGACCTATGATGTGTAAGAAATAGCGATCGTGCTGTGACCTGAGTGGCTGCCTGTCCGAAAGCAAAGTCTTGGGTGGTGCTGGTCGTGACTCAGGAGTCATGCCTAAGCCCTTGATGGGGGGCCGGAGTTAAGTTGACCTGTTCGGCTCAATTCAAATCCAGGTTGTGTTCGAAGACCTATAGCAAAGGGCTATGCGTGGCGGCACATGGCTTTCCAAAACCTGCCAGGGTTGGGTCAGGTAGTGTCGGTATCGGTCTGTGGTTTTCTCATTTGGGTTTGATCCGTGCGGCACTCTCCGGTGCATCTGCGAGCCAAGCATTTCCGGCGTCCAAAATCAAAAGTCAAGAAACAACGTGGCACTTAAACATTAATGTAGAGCCGAGAGATGTCGGCGTTAGCGCTACAGTTGCCCTAGGCCCTAGTCCCACCCCATCATGTCCCATCCTTCGGGCCACAAGTCTCAGGCAGATGTTTCGGTGTTTTTCAGTCTTGTCCTTGGGCTTCCCTTCCGTGGCAAGGTGTGAAGGAAGGTGATCATGATCCATGATGACCAGACCCCAACTCCGCTACACACAAAACGGTCAGCGCACCCTCTCGGATCTGCATCCAACTTTTTGCTCCTTCCGGGAACGGAGCTTCTGCCGAAGTCTCGGGACTCAGTGCTTCACGGATCCGCGGAGGCCCTGCCGGAGTTCAGGTGTGGAGGGCATGGGAATGGGCGAATAGGGTTGTAGCGTGCTGGGTACTGGCAGTTCACATAAGTGACGGCAGATGCTTCATGTACTGGTCTCACCTCCTATGACCTCGGTTTGCCACCTCTCCTTGCTTTGGGCTTTGAGTTCAACTGATGCAGGAAGTCCTCATCCAAACAAAGCTCGGCCCCACCCTTAAACCGTAAACCCTAGTAACCCTAGACCCTAAGCCACGGCCTTGTTCTGGAGCAACACCGCAGTCAGATCCTTGGCTCTATCTGAACGCCCTTTAAAGCGGGAGAAAAGGGTTTAGGGTTTGGGCTTCAGGGCTTGGGGTTTAGGCTTTAGGGTTGAGGGGCTGTGGGCCAAGGGGCCGTGCCACCCAACGACACCAAAGCCTCCTTGAGCCCGTCGATCTCTTCCTGCTCAGATCTGCCAAAGCTGCTGTAAGAACCTGCCTCTGCCTTCTACATGCCTAGGTTTGGACCTTACAATAAAGAAACGATACTCACAGGGCCAATAAAGAAACGATGCTCACAAGCCCGAAACCGCTATGGGACCCTTACAGAACCCTTTAAAGAGCCCCTTGAGAGGACCCTTCGTAGATCCTTTTAAAAAGGCGGGCTCCTGGCGCTTCGCCGCCTTTTCCTCGTAGGAGAGGCCGCCGTCGTAGCACTGCTTGGCCAGGCTCTCCTGGCAGCGCAAGGTTTTCACAACAAAAGCTCACATACAAATAAGCATAAGCCAGAAATATAGAGCTTATAGATATAAATATATCTATATATATATATATATATAAATGTGTATGAGTGCATTTATATCTATCTATCTATCTACCTACCTACCACCTACCTACCTACCCATCTATATATCTATCCATCCATCCATCCATCCATCCATCCATCCATCTACCTACCTATCTGTCTATCCATCTGTCTATCTATCTATCTCCCTCTCCATCTCTTCTGTATATATATATATATATAAACATATACATATACAGATAGATAGGTTTGCACAAGCTTTCACAAGCTTCGCGGCGGGACTGAAGCAGAGGATTCAGAGTCGCAACCCGCACGAGGCAGCTCTGACTCGGAGCTCCTGGTAGGTCAGGACGGCGGACAGCTCTTCCTGCGGAAAGTTCCAGGGCTCTCCCAAAGGCTGGGTCCGGGGAGCTTATGCGCAAAGGCGGCTCTTTTCTCCGCGCCGCCGCGCTGCGTCGTGCAGTGTCTCAGCACATTCGAAGAGCTGCTGCACTTGCTGCTGCCGCGGCTGGCACAGGGCTTCGGTGACTTTTTCGGGGGCTCAGGCCGTGGGTCTGTTGCTACGATCGACATCCGGGGAGTTCTAGGATTTCAGCATGGAGCTAGCGGATTCCACGATCCGTCTATTCAAGTTCAACAGCCTTCCACGACAAGTTAGTCCTAAAAAACAGTAGGATTGCTATGACATGAAGATGGCGAGGAAGGCGGAGGAAAATCATGGTGTGGCATGAGGAGACACGGTCACAGTGGCGATGTCATGGAGACACATTCCGACATCTTCATGGCAAAAGATGCTTTGCTTGATGTTGAGAGGAAGCATGGGACAACTGAATGGCCTATGCATTCGGCGGTCACGATATATGACGAAGATGATGACTCTCAACATTCGTGTAGGAAGCTCCAGGGCCCGTGCCGCTCAAACCTGCTTGAGTTCGGAGTGTTTTGGGCACCGGGCACCTTGGGGGCTTGCTGGTACCTGGAGAATGCTGGACCTCAAACATCCGACAAACCACTGCTGTCCCCGGCGTCTCAAATGAACCTGCACCCTAGGGTGGCACACGCGGGGAGCTTTACGGATTTCGAGATGCATCGTATGTGTTTTCACGTTTTTTCCCAGACTTCAGAAGCCTCAAAGGCCTACGAGTCTCGGACCCTGGGCCCCCCGACGCGGTAGAAGCTGCGCCCCCGGCCCTTCTGACGGCCCGCAGACTTGCCCTCAAAGAAGTGGCCCAGGTCCTTCGCGTCTTGGAGCATTTTGGGAAAACGCCGGTGCCAGGATGCGCTGGTGGGCTCTTCCGACATCTTTGGCGCTCGGCTACACTGCACGTGACTCTCAAGCCACTGGTGCAAAAGGTCGAAGAAGAAGAAGAAGCCCTCCAGAAAAGAGAGACCGCGTCACTCGGAACCCAACAGAAGGTCGTGGTCCGCCTCGAGCCGGGAGGGAGTCGCCCACTCTGCGGCGCCGTTGTAGGCGACGGCCTCGCCCTGAACAAGTCAGAACAGTTCATGTCTCGGGGCTCCTGCCTTGATGCCTAAGGTGTTTCATCTTCTGACAGCGAGATGGAAGTTTCCGAAAATTAGGGGTACCTTTATTAGGGGTCCTTATAAGAAGGATCCTACTATTTAGGGTACTATATAAGGGTCCCCTATTTTCGGAAACCCCCAGAGGTGGCCGAGAAGGCTGTGATTTGGGGACCAGCTTTTCAGCCCGACTCGCACCCCTGGATTTCTCGGAACAGTTCAGTGGAAGATGCATTGCACGTCTGCACCGCTGATACTAAGGATGGTGGTGGTGATGATGATGATGATGAAGATGATGATGAAGATGATGATGAAGATGATGATGTTCATGATGATGATGATGATGATGGTGATGGTGATGATGATGATGATGGTCAAACTGATGGTGAGCCCCTGCTGTCAACAACGGTGGTGTCAGTGACGATGAGCTATTCGATTCGCAGGAAGTTGCAGGAAGTTGGAGGGGCAATACGTTTAGGTTCCGGGGCCAAGTTTTTGGGTTCACCTGAAAACCTTGAAAACTCAACATCACCTTCAACACAAATTACAGAAGTCATACTGGAGATACAAACGACAAATCACAATCCCAGTGCTTCGCCCGTAGTAGTCATTTTTATGCCTTGAACCCCGATGCAGCCGTCACCCAGACCCTAAAAGCCTGCCGAACCAGGTGAGGACTGTTGTGCAAAAGTCTGATGAAGGCACTTGCGCGACTTTTCGAATGCGGGTGATGCCGAACGGCTGCCAAACGAACCTGGCCAGATTGTCTCATGCTCCAATCCCAGTCTCGGAGCCACACGCGCGCCTATGCTGGAATCAAGGTACGCATTATCATGAAATGGATCGAGAAGAGATTCGAGTCTTGTGCATTGACCGCTAGCGTGTGTGACTGTGGGTGTGGTGCGCGGTTTTCGCGCGACATCCACTGAAAGTCCTGGTGCTGAGATGCCACTACACCAACTCAGTCTGCTAAGTTTTAGCAGCCGTACGCCAGCCGAGGCACCTCCATTGCACACTTGTCCTGGTGTTGTTCTTGACAGAATCCGAAAGGGTTGAAAAGGCCCTTCTTAAGTGCCTGAAGACCTGGTCCAACTCTGGACGCGGCAACTGCGAGGTTACTGGTCCAAGCGGGAAGCTCGCCAACTCCGAGCAATTCGCACCTAAGTTCTGCAAAGCGCATGCTGCACGTATCAGACATATCTATGCTAACGATCCCTCTCACCACATTGCAGTAAAGCATCAGGAGCGCTGATCAACGGTTGGTGCAGTGCATGTACGCAGGATCTTTTCGTTTCAGGAGCAAGGTATAAGCAAAGTTTTTCTTCGCCTGGCGGGTAGGCGTAGTGCTGCAGTGCCTTTTGCAGTCTCGCAGAAGCGCACTGTGCGGATATTTTCGGCTTGGGAGCACTCCCTGCCAATAGCACATTTTCTCTGGCAGGTTGGCGCAATGCGGGTTCCCAGCCCGTGTAAACACATTTTGCAGTGCAGGCCTTCTCGTTTCCGGAGCAACTGCATGCACAGAGCATTCTCTCTGGCAGATTGGCGCCGTTTGTTTTCCGAGCGTGGATCAATGATTTTTGCCAGATCCCGTTGTTTGTGGGGACGACGACTACCACTACTACTACAACTACTGCTGTACCACTACACCCACTGCTACAACACACGATCACCACAAATACCACTGCTACGAGAACTACCACTACTGCCCCTACTACTACTACTACTACTACTACTACTACTACTACGATTACTACTACGATTACTACTACTATTACTACTACTACTACTACTACTACTACTACTACGACTACGACTACGACTACGACTACGACTAC